ATATATATATATAATCTTTCAACTTCTATCTTCTATGCCTATTATCTAACCATTGATAGAACAAAGCCCATGTTAAAAAATATTCTGTATCTTCTTTGTCTTTTATACTTAATGTTAACCTATCCATTTCTGCACTTTTTTTTAAATTATATTTTCATCTGTAGGAATTTTCTCATTCTTCCAGTGCTGTGCAAATACAATTCACTGCCAATTTCTAAAGCCAAATGAAATCTTGAATTCAACCTGTCTCAAATATTTCTTGGTGACAAAGAGTTCTTTTTGATTTAGAAGACACCACATCCATTGATAAATTAACTGGATCCCCATAAATCACGAATTAACAGTAATGATTTGGTTTTACTGCACCAAAAATATACTTCGTTGTTCCTGTTTCAGTGATTACACCTATGTGAACCCAAAGAACATACGAGATACAACTATCTTTTCATTTGTCTCTGTGAGAATTTATAACATCTGAGGCCATTGCCTTATGGTGTAAAGAGACTTGCATAAGCTAAGTAAAAAAACAAGTATTTCTTACAAATCAGTTCCACTTAGGTAACTGAAATAACTCTCAAATGACTTGAAATTTAAAGTTGCTCTGTGCTAAAGAGGCCCTTCCCTAATTTGTGCAATATCTTTCTTCATATAGTTGCTCTTTGGGTTATCTTATTTTTAGAATGCATTTTTTGAAAACACAGTATGTAAAGCTAATTATAATTTGATTTCATTATCATTGTAATATGAGTTGTCTTTTCCATGTCATCAGATCCTTAAATTGATCTTATAGTCCATTTGTTTATTTTTTCCTCACTCTCTTCCCACTGCTACAAGGCAAGCATTGCTGAAGCTGGAACTTTGACCAGACTGCTTGAATAAATCAAAGCCTCCTTAAATTGGGTCCATATCTCTGTGGGAATTTTTTTTAGTGATAATATGAAATTGGTTTGCCATTGTCTTTTTTTTGGATAGTAGTCTAAAGTTTCCAATTTAGCTTAAGACACTGGCATTACCAGAGTTTCAACTTTGTTTAGCACCAGGAGTCTTGTTTTTGTTTTTATGAAGTAAAACTAAAAAAGACTTCCTCAAAACTCCTGACGCCTCCCTCAGTAGTGTATGTTCTGCAAATTCAAAGTATCTTCCCTTTTTTTAGTAATTTATGCAATACACCAGAGGTAGTTTTGCATTTACTCTCCTTATTGTGAAAATGATGTATTGCAATCTATAGCACTTGTTGATTACGAGTTCCTTTATGAGGCACTTTGTCCAGACTCGTTATATGTGGGATTGAATTTATGTGTGTGTGTGTGTGTGTGTGTACATTGTGTACATGCAAACAAACAAAATTTTAATACAAAAATGTTTCTTTTCTTTTCAAAGGCTCCAATAGCTGTGAGACTGGGTAAATTGGCTATAAACAAAGGGATTGAGGTAATGATTTATTTCAACAAGCTTCTTCAATTTATATTTAAGGTTCCACAGAAAGGTAGAGAAATGACGTTCCAAAAAGACGCACATTTTATTACAGCATCTAGATCTAAACTGCAGAAATTCAGTCCGCTAATATCATAGCAAGTTAAAAGTTGTCCGTATCTTTTTCCTGCCATCTGGTGGCTATCTTTACATTTGCAGTCCAGTTATGGTAATTTGACATGAGTGACAGATCTATTTCATTGTCTGAATCAAAAGTAGAAATAAGAAATGTACACATGACCACCATTGCTTCTTCATTCTGGTGCCACATTTTCAGTATTAGTGCACTCAGTCAGGAGACAAAAAGGTCTTCACCAGGATAGAGAAGTGGAAGAAATAATACCTTCACAAATCACCATTTCCACACAAGGCTTCAACTACTGTTATTATAGAACCTTCTCCTGAGTTGTCAGGAGGAGCAGAAGGACAATTCGTTCGTTTCGTTTTGTTTATTGATCTTGTATGCCGCCCACTCCCGAAGGACTCCGGGCGGCTTACAATAAACAAGGGAAGGGGATAAATAAACAAA